GTGCAGATCTGTCCTCGCAGAGGAGGGAGAGCTTGTACCTGAATAAAACTTGGTCTTAAAGGTGCCACTGGACTGTTTGGGGCCGGGGGGCCGGGGGGGGGATCTGCAGCTTCCCTGGCTGCCTCTTACTCTGACTGAGGGCTGCTGGGAGCAGGGGGTGGGGCTTGTTGCATGTGCCCGCCCCCTGGGCTCTTTATTTCCGGAGTACCGCTCCTGTGTGCTTCTGCAGGAAATGACCCCTGTTGTCCTGAGCAATTTCCTGGACTCTCTGTGACTCCCTGGCTGTTCCAGTACCCTTATCGATGGGGTCCCAGCCCCTGTCCTCTGCTGGCTCTGTGGAGGGGGGAGGGCTACTTGGCCTCAAAAACAGTTGGGGGGAAACTGGGAAGGAGGAAGTCCAGGTTGGATTTATTTTATTTTATTTTATTTTTTGGATTTATATCCCACCCTCCCCTTGATGGGCTCAGAACGGCTTCCAACAATAAACTACAATACAATCAGGGGTCACTTCCTGCAAGAGTGCACAGGAGCGGAGCTCCGGCAGTAAAGAGCCCAGGGGGCGGGCACATGCAACAAGCCCCACCCCCTGCTCCCAGCAGCCCTCAAGAAGCTGCCAGTTAAGTGCGAGGACAGATCTGCACGTTCTCTCCCACCCCCAATACCTAGCAATACAAAACTGTCCAGTGGAGCCTGAATGGTGGGTGTTGCCTTCTGACACACTTCTGGTGATGTCAGGGGGTGTGGTATATGCAAATAAGCTATGCTAATGAGTTATGTTAATGAGCACCTGCACCTCTTTTTCTACGAAATGACCCCTGAATACAATTAAAACAATTTAAAACACAATTTACATTTTAAAATACAATACAGCATCACATAATACGACTCTAGTGAGAACCAGATCTCTCAGTGGTTAATGATGTCAAATTTAAGTTTTCGCTTGGAGATCCTTAAAATTTAGGATCTCAAAGGACCCAGGCAACTGATGGAGGAACCCAAGGAGGGAGAAGCCCGCTGCCTCAACCAAAGGTCGTTGGAAGAGGTCCGTCTTGCAGGCCCGGTGGAATTGTAGCAAATCAAGCCCACGCCTGTCCAAACCGTTTCCGTCACAGCCTAGAAATTTGTTAGGATACAGAATCCGAATCCGGCTCTCTGAGATTTTAGTCCAATGCTTTAGATCAGTGGTGTGGGTCTGAGTTTTGCCTGGTGGGGCAGACTGTCCGCCCCAACACAGAGGCAGACGTATTTTAAACGTTAACCCTGGAAGGGTGGGAAATGGCACGGTGAAACTTGGGCAGTTGCCATGCCCAAATTTTAAAAGACCTAAGAACTGGCAAAGTCTGTGAGCTGTGGATTCCAATCTCGCCTCAGTCGTTTCTTCTCTACTAGCTCTTTGCAGGATAATACCGGCCTGCCTAACAGGCCCGTTGCAGGAATGGCTGGAATTGCTTCCCGCGAAGCTGGTAATAGAAAAGACGTTGAAAAGTTTGAGAACCAGCGGGGCAGAGAGGTTTGAAGGGCATGGTTGGGAGACCTGGGTTCAGATCTCACACAGCCATAAAGCTCACTGGGTGACCTTGGCCTGGTTGCACCTTGACATACCTCTCCAGCAGTGTTCCCTCTAAGCTGAGTTAGTGTGAGGCTAAAGGTAAAGGTTCCCTTGCTCGAAAGGCAGTCGAATCCGACTAGGGTTGCGGTGCTCATCTCCGTTTCCAAGCCGAAGAGCCAGCGCTGTCCGAAAACGTTTCCGTGGTCATGTGGCCAGCATGACTAAACACCAAGGCGCACGGAACGCACGGAAAGCCAGCTCACAGTTTTTTTAGCCTCTGGCTCACACATTTTTGTCCTGGCTCAGGAAGGAGGGCTCCAGAGCAAACTAATTTATGCAGGAGCCAAACCGCTCACTCACAACTTGAATGCCAGGAGCTCACAAAGTAGAATTTTTGCTCACAGGACTCCACGGCTTAGAGGGGGCATTGCTCCAGAGCAAACTAATTTATGCAGGAGCCAAACCGCTCGCTCACAACTTGAATGCCAGGAGCTCACAAAGTAGAATTTTTGCTCACAAGACTCCACGGCTTAGAAGGGGCATTGGTCGCAAGGTCATTGTGAAGATAAAATGGAGGGACCGGGAACCACAGGCAGTGCCAGGAGGTCCTTGCAAGAACAGTGGAACAACAACAGCAAAAGTGTGATTGTTTAAACCCCAACCCTTTTGAGCCTGTGGGCACCATTGGCATTCTGACACGGTGTGGTGGGCACGGCAACAAAATGGCTGCCACAAAATGGCTCCCACAGATCCATGTGCTGCGGTGGCAGCTGCTGCCCAAGCGAGATCTTTAAAAATCGGCACAGCCACTCCAATCTCCAATGGCCAATCAGAAGCCTTGCAGGACAAAAGCCATCCCACTGCCTCAAAACACTTGGTGGGCTCCAGAAATGATGTCGGCGGCCACCAGCGTCCCGCCTCCTAGCAGGAACATTTGCATCTGCAGAAATTCTCCTTTCTGAAGGGTCGGCGGACATGTCTCGAGGGCCCCAGGGTGGGTCTCCAGACGGAGCTGTGTTATTAGCCAGAGTTGCTCCAGCAGAGACGTGGGCGGGGGAGAGGAAGAGGAAGAGGAGGACAGAAGGGAAAAGCCAGGGAAGGGTGGTGTGAGAAGCGTCAGTTCTGTGTGGGGCAGATAAGGGGAACTGGGCGGAGCGGTGTTCTCCGGTTGGAATTTCCTGTCCTCTTGTAAACCACTTTTAGAATCCTTCACTCCCACCGTTTCTCTGGTGAATGCAGCGTGGCGGGAGAGCCACACCTCTCCCATTGGGCTCTTTTTGTAGCAGGGACTCCTTTGCGTATTAGGCGACACACGCCTAACGTAGCCAATCCTCCAAGAGCTTATGGCAGCCCCTGTAAGAAGAGCTCTGTAAGCTCGTGGAGGATTGGCTACATTAGGGATGTGTCGCCTAAGATGCAAAGGAGTCCCTGCTACAAAAAGAGCCCGAATCATGTTCCGCGCTGGCATCCACTGGTTTCCCCCTGGCTTGGTGGCCGACCCCATCTTATCCTCGCCAGCTGTGAAGTCCAACTGCCCCCCCCCCAACTATATTGCCTGCAACAGTAAGATAATTTCGTAGGCAAGCCGGGCATGCTTCTGTGTGAATGGAAAGTGTTTTAGCCTGGGGGGAGGGGGGAATTAAGATGGCCATTTTCAGGGCCGGCTGTCCTCGGTTTCTCTCAGTTAATGAACCCGCAGAATACTTCTGTACTTCTAAGCTGTGATTCATTTTGTAACCTTGACCAGTTTGCCCTTTCAAATTCTTCATTTATTTGGGTCAGCAAAATGCATGGATTTTATCCAAGCCCCGTTCAATGTGCACCTTTTCCAATGAAGGAAATTTCTTTCAGGGCGTAACTTCTGTCCATTCTAGGGTTTTGTTCGTACCCCTGAACACGTGTATTGTGTTGTTTCTGAACATATTATAAATTCTGGGTATTTGCTGGAAAGGGCTATCACGATGCTTGCAGGGGTCATTCCGTAGAAAAAGAGGTGCAGGAGCTCATTAGCATAACTCATTAGCATAACTTATTGGCATATGCCACACCCCCTGACATCACCGGAAGTGTGTCGGAAGGCAACACCCACCGCTTGGGCTCCACTGGACTCTTCCGGATTGCTAGCTATTGGGGGGAGGACGCGCAGATCCTCATGCTCCTCGTGGCCCGGGGCTGCTGGGAGCAGGGGGCGGGACTTGTTGGATATGCCCGCCCCGTGGGCTCTTTACTGCCGGAGCTCCGCTCCTGTGCGCTCCTGCAGGAAATGACTCCTGGACAGAACTATGGCTTGCCCAAGGTCATCCGGCAGCTGCAAGTGGAGGAGTGGGGAATCAAGCCCGGTTCTCCCAGATTAGATGGCGCGCACTTAACCACTACACGAAACTGGCTCTGGCCGCTGCCCGTCTGAGTGGACAAGACTGACTTTGATGGACTGAGGGTCTGATCCGGTATGAGGTAACGTCAGATGTTCTTGTGATCAAACGGAGACTCCCTTGCCCCGCTGGGTTTCGAAAAGCTCAGTTGCAGAAAGGAGTACCAAATCCACACCCAGTTTTTAAAAAAGAGCTCTCTGTTCTGCCCTGTTGGGTAGCGCAAACAGGGGTCTTTTTGGAGCAGTCCTGTGCTGCTGGATCAGACCAGTGGTCCATCCAGTCCAGCATCCTGTCTCACACAGTGGCAAGCCAGTTCCTCTGGAGGGCCAACAGCAGGGCATAGAGGCTGAGGCCTTCCCAGATAAGAACATCAGAAGAGCCCTGCTGGATCAGACCACTGGTCCCTCTAGTCCAGCATCCTGTCTCACACAGAGGCCAACCAGTTCCTCTGGAGGGCCAACAACACGGCATAGAGGCCGAGGCCTTCCCCCGATAAGAGCATAAGAAGAGCCCTGCTGGGTCAGACCAGTGGTCCCTCTAGTCCAGCATCCTGTCTCACACAGTGGCCAACCAGTTCCCCTGGAGGGCCAACAACAGGGCATAGAGGCCGAGGCCTTCCCTGATAAGAACATCAGAAGAGCCCTGCTGGATCAGACCAGTGGTCCATCTAGTCCAGCATCCTGTCTCACACAGAGCCCGACCGGTTCCCGTGGATGGCCAACAGCAGGGCATAGAGGCCGAGGCCTTCCCCTGGTGTTGTCTCCTGGCTCTGGGATTCAGAGGATTGGTGCTTAGATGATATCCACAGCTTGTGATGGAAGTGCTACAGTCCTGTCTACCATCTCAGGACTCTGCTGCCGCCTACTGCAGTGTGTCTGAGCCAGGCTTGACTCTGGCATGTGCCAATGCTTCCTCCTTCTCCTCCAGGTTCACGGTTCTGTTCTCCCATGGCAACGCCGTCGACTTGGGCCAGATGTGCAGCTTCTACATCAGCCTGGGGACCCGCATCAGCTGCAACATCTTCTCCTACGACTACTCCGGATATGGGGTCAGCACGGGGAAGCCCTCGGAGAAGAACCTCTATGCCGACGTCGACGCAGCCTGGCAAGCCCTCCGCACCCGGTGAGCTTCAAGATGCAGCGAGTGAGGTTCTTGCGACGGTCTGATTGACCGTAATGGTTAGGGAAAGGAGCCTCCCCATGCAGAGGCAGTATATCTGCGAGCAACAGGTGGGGGAGGCAAAGAATGGGAGGGCCTGCCATCACTCAGTGGTTTATAGTACCGATATTCCAAGTCTTTTACACGTTACCCAACAATAATGTCGCAAGGGCTCCTCCCACAAGCACTTCTAGGTGTTATAATTTATTGCTGCTTCAAGACAGGGGCCTGTGAAGAGTTGTGGGTGGGTGTCATGGGCTGGGGTGCCAGTCAAAGGGAGTCCAGAACAAGCCAAGGTCAGGCCCAAGAAGACAGTGCAAAGTCCAAAAAGCCAAGCCGGGGTCAGGAGCCAGAAACACAAGTCCAAATCACTAACCAGAAACGTAGTCCGAAAAGCCAAGCTGGGGTCAGGAGCCAGGAACACAGAGCCAAGTCCAAAGCCAAGGGGTCCAAAGGTCTAGGTGCAAGAGTCGAGCCGGAGTGGATGCTAGCAGCACGAAGCTGACTTGTTGCTTCCACGAAGGGTACTGCCCAGAGTGTGGAGTTTAATGCTGCTACCAATTAGCCATCTGCACGATTAGTCCTGTTAGAACTCTGGGCTGGCTGAGCGTTTCCCTTGTAGCCTGGCCTCTCTTTGCCTGCTTGCTAAGTTTTGCCGCAGTCACTCCCTTAAACGAGTCACACGTGGGGGTGAGTCAGGAGGACTTTCAGCTTGCAGTTCTTCCTTCTTATCTGGGCCACTATAGTGGCTTCCTTTCTAGCTGCGGTGATTAAGAAAACAGATCTCCCTGAGTTTAATTAGTTTATTGCTGATAACTGTCGACCTATATACAAATTTGATAATTTTAAGTGTGTGCTGGTTTTTGTTGTTGTTTTGGTGTTTTTTTATTCTGTACAGTTGCTATGGCTTTCTTGCTAATGCAATAAATATTATTATTATTATTATTATCTGGGCCAGGTGTGAACACCGCTGTTACAGACACTTGCCAGCTATCCTCCTCTGCTGCTTCAGAGGGGCCAGCTGTGATTTCTGCAGGCTCTGTCAGCTCATCCTGATCCATGCCCATGACAGTGGGGGAGCAACTGTGCAATCTTTGCAAGATTTTGCAGCCGTCGTCTCTCCCCTGCAATCACAGAGCCTTACAGAGTGGTAGAGGTAGAAATCAGTAGGGCTGTGTCTCCATGGAGTTTACAATCTCAGATGATAGAGGGGAAGGAGGGGACACAATAGAGAGGAAAAGAGTAGACTGAAGCAGCCCTGCTGCACTGAGCCAAAGGTACTTCTGGACTGGCATCCTGTCTTCAAAACTGGGCAGCTGACAGCCTCTCTGGTTGTCGCTGCATTCCACATCGATCACCCGTTCACAGGTATACTCAGACCCATAGCCAGGATTTTGTGGCTTGTGAAGGAAATTTTTCTCTGGTGCAGAAAGAAAAAATGCTTAGCCAATAGAAAACTCTCACCAGGATAGATCTCTAAATTGCAAGCTGTCAGCGACTTCAGATGACAGTTCTCAGCTGCTGCAAGTTAATCACTTCTGCCAGCCTAAGCAACCATTCTGAGAACAAGGCGGCAGGTGGGGGCGATGACTTCTACAGTCAAGAAAGCGAACACTTAGGCCGAAAAACTCTCTCAAAGGAGACCGGTTTCTTGACACAGCGTTAGAAGGGATTCTAGAGGTCACTTACTCCAACCCCTTGCTCAGTGTGGGAATTAGTCAACTACAGCACCCCACTCTGCTTAAAGGTGTGCACGCCTTTTTAAAAATGTTCTAAGATGATTGAAAAAAAGGATTTACAGGAGAAATTCTTGTGGGGGCTGTGTTGTCTTTTCAAGAGGGGGCAACCGCATCTGTCAATTCCTCACTCCAGACCCCCTCCCCCATGCTGTTCCTGCAGGGACAAAATTTGGAGGAGGAGTCTGTTGGGTTGCGACAGGGTACTTAAGTTTTCTTAACTGCGCGGTTGGATAGAGGCCTCTTTCCGGCTGCGGCCAAACAGATGTCCTGGAGAGATTACCAACCAGTGCATCCCTGTGATTGGTCAACCAGCACTGTAGAGGTGCCCAACCTTTAGACATGGAAGCTCCTTCCAGCAATCATGGCCGATGGATTACCCCACACTGCTTTTCCTGAAGAGCCAGTTTGGTGTAGTGGTTAAGTGCGTGGACTCTAATCTGGGAGAACCGGGTTTGATTCCCCACTCCTCCACTTGCACCTGCCTGGATGACCTTGGGCAAGCCGTAGTTCTGATAAGAGCTGTTCTTGCAAAAGAGCAGTTTCTGTCAGAGCTCTCTCAGCCCCGCCTACCTCACAGGGTGTCTGTGGTGGGGAGGGGAAGGGAAAGGAGTTTGTAAGCCGCTCTGAGACACCTTTGGGTAGTGAAGGGTGGGGGATAAATCCAATCCCTTCTTCTTCTTCTTCTTCTTCTTCTTCTTCGTTCCCAGCAGTGTGTCCAGTTCCTTTTTTGAAGCATCAAAGCGAGTAGCTATCGCTGCATCTTGTGGCATGTAGTTCTGCAGAGAGCCAGTTTGGTGTAGTGGTTAGGAGTGTGGACTCTAATCTGGGAGAACCGGGTTTGATTCCCCACGCCTCCACATGCAGCTGCTGGGTAAATCCAATCTCTCTTAATTAGTTCCGTTTGTGTGTGTGTGTATGTGTCAGAGAGAGAGAGAGAAGGGGTGCTGGGAGGTGTTAGGAGGTGTATATGATTAGTCTAGAGTAGGGGGGTCTCCAACCTTTTTGAGCCTCCGGGCCACTTGGGAACTCTGACACAGTATGGAAGCCGCGCCCTAGGAGGTGGAACCAGCCACAAAATGGCTGCCGCGGGTGACTTTCAGTCAGGCGTCAAAAGATCCTTGCATTGCGCTAGCAGCTGCTGCAGCAGCAGCAATGTTTTAAAAAATGTTCGCAGTCAATCAAATTTCCCATACCCAATCGCAAGCCTTGCTGGGCTAACGCCCCGCTTGGCCCCACCCCCTTCCTAGAGACACTTGGGCACCTGAAAAGGTGTCAGCGGGCGTTCTGGCCCCCGTGGGCCCCTTGTTGGCGACCCATGGCCTAGAAAAGCAACTGAACCTGGCACGGTGAACGTATATCCCTTTGGGGCCTTCTCTCCACTCTGCAGATATGGGATCAGCCCGGAGAACATCATCCTGTACGGGCAGAGCATTGGTACCGTGCCCACGGTGGACCTTGCCTCTCGCTACGAGTGCGCCGCCGTCATCTTGCATTCGCCCCTGACCTCCGGCATGCGTGTCGCCTTCCCGGAAACCAAGAAGACATATTGCTTTGATGCTTTCCCGAAGTAAGTCTGTGGGGCTCCCTCGAAGATACTTTCAGCCTGCCTTTCCTTCAAGGGCTGGGGTGCACGGCCCCGCTTTTATCCTCGCAACATTCC